AAATCTAGGGGGTGGATCCATATATATAGTCTCAAATAAGTCTCCATTAAGAAATGCATTCTTGACATCTAACTAATGCAGAGGCCAAGAATGGACCGTAAACAAGGAGATAAGCAGTCGTACAGACGTCAACTTTGCCACAGGAGCAAAGGTAGCACCAAAGTCTGTTCTCGAAATCTGAGTAAAGCCTTTTGCCACGAACCGAGCCTTATACCGATCAATAGAACCATCGGCTAAGTACGTCACATTAAAGACCAATTTGCAGCCAACAGTTTTCTCCTCAGCAGGTAAAACAACAAGTTCCCATGTATTATTATGTTGTAAAGCATCCATTTCTGTTGTCATGGTAGACACCCAATTGGGATCCTGGAGGGCCTCTGACACTGATCGAGGAATAGAAATAGTCCCAATTTTGCCCAGGAAGGATTTATACACCTGAAAGACCATTATAGGAGACATACTGGGAAATAGGGTGGTTAGTTCTACTAGAGAAATCATACCAATTAGGAAGGTGACGATCACGGATAGGATAACGGGAGGTATGCTCAGGAATGGTAGGAGCCATAGGAGAAGGAGAGTTACCTGGACCTGGTTCTGAAGTTGATTCTGGCAGGGGAGGTTGAGTGCGATGGCAACAAGAGTAGACCTACAAAGGTGGAGGGGAACCCTGCATGGATGGAGAAGGAGATTCTGGGACTGTGTGATTTTCAAAGAGAGGAACAGGACGAGCAATAGGAGAAATCTCCTTCTCCAGACCACAAGAGAGAATCCTGTACCACAGAAGGACAGTGTGATTTTCAAAGAGAGGAACAGGACGGGCAATAGGAGAAATCTCCTTCTCTAGACCACAAGAGAGAGAATCCTGTACCACAGAATTAGTACTATAAAAAGGAATAGTTTCATGAAATGTCACATCAAGAGAATGATACATATGTTTGGTCACAGGATCATAACAACAATAACTCTTTGACATAGCAGAATACCCTAAGAAAATACACCTAATTGATTTATCATCAAGTTTATGACGAGAAGGACTACGGTTATGAACAAAACAAGTACAACCGAAAACACGAGGCAGAAGGTGAAACAATGTATAATCAGGCTGGAGAATCTGAAGTGAGGCCTTACCACCCAAAACTCGACTGGGAATACGATTAATCAGAAAAGCAGCTGTAAGAACAGCCATGTGCCAGTAGAATTTAGGCACATGCATACCACTCAGAAGACATCGGACCACAGACATAAGATGACGGTTTTTTCGTTCAGCCACGCCATTTTGCTCATGAGTGTAGGGGCAAGTGAGTTGATGTAAAATCCCCTTTTTATTAAGTTCAGTCCGGAACTCATTTGAAACATATTCACGTCCATTATCAGAACGAATATTACGGACAACAGTGTTATACTGGGTTTTAATCATTTGAAGAAACTGGGTAAATAAAAGAAGCACATCAGATTTCTTTTTCAATAATAAACCAAATTACAACGAGAATAATCATCAATAAATGTTACATAATATCAATGTCTAGAGAAAGCAGTAACTGGGGGAGGGCCCCAGACATCAGAATGAATAAGATCAAATATACTAGGAGCACGACTCATATGAGAAATATAGCTAGTTCTAGTATGTTTAGAAAGCTCACAAACTTCACATTGAAACTTGTGGTCCTTCATGCTTTATTTAACGAAGGAAACAATAGACATAGATACTGAAAGTTTACATGCCCCACACGTGCATGCCACAGACTAAAAGTGCGAAAAGAAACATCATAAACACTAGAAATAGGTAGGACAGAAGCTTGAAGACTCGTTCTTGGTGGTTCCCCAAAGTAGTAAAACCCATCATGCTCATAACCCCTGCCAAAAATCCTCTTCGAACAAAGGTCCTGCAAAAAACAGTGATCTGGTAAGAATATAACTGCACATTGGATGTTTTTTGCAAGCCGACTAACAGATAAAAGGTTAAAGGCAAATTTAGGTACATGAAGGACAGATGAAAGAGTAATATCCGGAGACAGACAAACATCACCCTTACTGTGAATGTAAGATGTAGAGCCATCCGCAAGATACACAGATTAGGTAACAGGTATGGCATTAGAAGAAAAAACTGATAACTCACCAGTCATGTGATCATTGGCCCTAGAATCCAGAACCCAAGTGGGCTGCTTGGCCTTAACATGAAATGCAGTAGGAGTACCTATAGCAATAGTGGCAGTGGGAGCAGCTGAAGGAGCACCAACTCTAAAAGCAAGGGAGCCAAGCTGTTCCTGGATCTGCCCAATTTGAGACTGAAGCTGGCTCAGTCTAGGAAAGACAATAGATCCACCAGTAGTAACAGGAGTCTCTGCAACAGCCGCAGTACGAGAAGAACCAATCCTAGATAAACGGTTCCTAGAAAAATTTTGCTTCAATTTAGGATAAAGTTTGAAACAACGAGCCTTAACATGTCCAACCCCTCCACAAAGGTGACAAATAATTTGACCTCCAGAAGCACGTGATCCAAAGTTGGCTGCAAAAGCCATACTATCCCCAGCAGGCTTAGACACTGGTAGAGGAACAAGTGAGGGCTGAATTAAATGGTGCCTGCGTGCTTCACCATCAACAGTAGCAAAGGCTTCCAACAGGGATGGCATTGGTGATGCATTCAAGATCTGAGACTTTAGTGATTCAAATTCTGGGCGTTATCCCATCAAAAACTGATAGGTATGCTGACGATCAAGACGTTTGACAAGAAGAGAGGCTTCCTCGGAAGGAAATTCACTGAGAGGTTCATATTGAGCTAGTTCCTCCCAACGAGATCTCAAATACCCAAAGTAATCAAATACAGACAAATTCAGGCCTTCATGCGAGGCTTTAGCAATATCTTGGTATAATTCAAAAATACGAGCATCATTCCTAGAATGAGCATACATTTGATTCAAAGCAGTCCACAGGTCATTAACAAAGTCATAAAACAAGAATATATTATAAATGCGTTCCTCCATAGACATAAACATCCATCCTAAAATGGTTCAATTGTCCATATCCCACTGAGCATATTTAGGATCTTTAATATCTGACATATTTTCAGTACCCAAAATCCACCCTGATTTGCCTTTTCCACCAACATAGAGGCGGAGGGAACGAGCCCAGGATGCAAAATTACGACCATTCAACAGCACACTAGTAACTCGTTGAGCCGGTGTGTGTTGCGCCGAAAAGAGAGTTTCTTTATTATTACTTGATTCAGCCATAATATTAAATAGAACAATTCAACAGATCACCAATAATTTCAAATAAAGGAGGAATAAACCTGATTTTGATCAAACCAAGAAGTCGGAGACACGGCGGTCTGATCATAAAAATGTTGCCAAAAAATTACAAACACGTCTTCTGACCCTTAGTGCATGAAAAAGACTAAGGGAATACCCCTACAGGGGTCAAACCTAGAGGACATTGACTCCCCCTAGGACTGTGGCAACAGCGGCCTGAAGAAGAGAGAGGGTCTGTGAAGAAAAAGGAAAAAGAAATAGGGAAGGGGCTATGACGAGATAGAGAGAGATCAAAAGAGGCGGTGAGAGAGAGAGGGGGGGGGGGGGGGGGGGGGGGATGAGGACGCATAGATTTGAGGCTCTGATACCAAAAAGTAACTTGATAAAATTGGCGTACCCAATTTGAGAGCCTGACTATCATTATATACAAGAGGAAAATTACAAATATGGAAAAGAGAATAAAATCAAATTAGAATAAAGAGAATAAAATCAAATCAGAATAAAAATAAAATCCCTAAACATTAGCCTAATGAAGACCCAATAAATCTGTCACAATCATAGAGTCAACTTATAGATATGATTTCCAACAAAAGTGATAACCTTAGTCAGACCACATAATTTCATATCATTCCTTACTAACTCTACCCATGTTAACATTGGTCTCCTCCTACCCCTATCATTATCCTCAATGTAAACCACATCACTGTTCCTAACTGGCGCACTTAGGTCTTCTTTGGGCATTTCCCTAACCATCTTAATCGACCGTCTCTCATTTTATCTCCAATTTGTGCTACTTCAACAATCTTACAAATGTGTCCATTTCTAACACTAACCTTTCTTATCCTGCCACACATCCATCTCAGCATTCACATTTCCGCCACACATACTTCATACATACGTTGTTTCTTAACTATGTATCATTCACTCCCATAAAAGGCTGGTCCAATAACTATTTTATAGAACTTCCTTTTCAATCTTAGCGGGACTATATGCACTCCTCCATGTAACCCATCCTGTCTTGATTCTATGATTAACACCATCTCTGATTTTTCCTTGATTATAAAAATAAAAATAAAATAAAAAATAAAAAAAAAGAGCAACTTTTTGTACCCTCTTGATCCTCAATTTGCATCGCATCCCTAAAATCAAAGCTAACATACATAAATAAATAAACTGAACCATCACATCACCTTTGTTGAGAAATGTCAAAATGGTGCAACTACACTTAAATTTCTGTCCCGAAATGCTATCTCTCGACATATAAATATCTTAGTTAATTAGTTTTGTTTGATAATTAATTTACTCAAGCAGGAGGTTCAAAATGAACGAATCAAAATGACAAAATGAGCACTGAAGAGTGAAGAGAAATTAAAGCTTCATAGACTTCCAAAATCCCCATAGAACATCTCCTTCTAGTACAAGTTTCCTTGTGCAAAATGAAGCTCAGAACTTGTGAATCATCTTTCTTAGTGAGTATAGAAATTATTGTCAACACCTTATTAATGTCTACCTGCCACAAACAAATATCTTATAATCTATGTGGTTAAGGTTCATTGCTGTCAGACTTCTGTCAAACAAACTATGCATATAATAAAACCAAAACTTCTATTCGAATAAGATCACTACATTTAACAAATTAATGTATCATTTTGTCAGCCAAAGAATTAATTTTAAAAAAATGCATAATTAGTATTCAAAAAGAGAAACTGAATATTTTCCTAGATATTGGACCATCTGGGCCAGAAACCTCACCACAGCAGGTACAACACGACTAGCTGAATTGAAGACCTCATGCAATGCTTGCTCACTTTCTCCATAATATTGACTAACAATTTCGGGTCCATTCACAGAGAAGAGGTTAACGCCAGCATCATGGGCGCACAATTGAGCCAAAGAAGTTTTCCCAGTGCCAGGTGGACCATAAAGCAGCACTCCCTTTGTAGGCCGTAAACCGAACCTAAAACAATTATATAAAAAATAATACTATAATGCTGAATAAGCTAAACAGTAGGTAAATGTTTCTTGTTTGAATAGGAAATTGATTAACATGCAGCTAGTCATATAAAAAACAAAATTAATTTGATAATACAAGGGCCGAATGGCATAAAAGCATCCAATCCATCTGTCTGGTTCAATGTTTAAATATTCATGTCTGGTTCAATATGTTGGTGTTCATGTTCGAAGGGAAAATCAATTAGCTTTCTTTTCCAACAACATGTTTAATAATAGATAACCTACAGAAACTGTTCTGAAAATTGAAGTGCTTTACTGTACAACTAATCCACAAATAATTAATGATTCTAAAAAATTGGGTAAGTTGCAGAAACCCATCCTGAACTAAAAGCAAATTACAGATAAACCCCTGAACTACCGTTTCAGCAAGAAACCCCTTCAACATTCCTAAAAGTTTATGATACAGCCCATGCTGATGGAAATGGACAGGATAGCGATCATGGATGACAAGACAAAGAGAACAAAGAGAATTTCCGGAGAAAACATGTCTGCCTTTCCCTTCGGGAGACTTTCTTTATATAATAATATTTGCTATTCTATACAAGGAATGCTTACAACAATCAAATCCCAAGATTTTGGGTATCCACAAAAAATATTCCTAACTACAAGTAATCTGTAAATCATCTAAATTGGAATGGAATCCCAAATTATAAGCTATCTTACAACTCAGCAAATCATCTAATTTTGGTATGCAGATCACTTCCTTTGATACCTCTGATACCCCCCCTCAAATTGATGTTGGTGAATCCAAAAGCATCAATTTGTCAACTAAGAACTGGTGACGAGTCTTAGTCAAGGCTTTAGCGAAAATATCTGTAGTTTAGAAATCCGTTGACACATGAGGCAAAGTAACGAGATGATTAACATAGGCTTCCCAAATGTAGTGACAATCGACCTCTATGTGTTTAGCCCGTTCATGAAATACTGGATAATCTATAATCCGTATGGCACTTGTGTTACCAGCATGTAGAGAAGTAGGATTTAATTGAGGGAAACCTAATTCAGATAGAATACGACGAAACCAAACGATTTCAAAACAGGCAGAAGACATGGCTCAATATTCTGCCTCGGTAAAAGATTTTGAAACTCGTTCTTGTTTCTTGCACTTCCATGACACAAGGGAGCCATTGAGATACATGCACCACTCCGTTGTAAATCGACGAGAATAAGGACAACCTGCCCAGTCAGCATTACTATAAGCTGTAAGTTGGAGAGATGAACCAGCTTTATAAAATAACCCATGCTCTGGAGTGCTGAGTAAATAGCGAATGATCCATTTGACAACTGCAAGATGAAGATGTTGAGGTTGATGCATAAACTGACTCATCAAATTAACTGCATAAGAAATATCAGGTCTTGTGATTGTCATATAAACCAAGCTCCCAACTAGTCGCCTATATGTCGTAGGATCAGAGAGTAGTTTGCCTTCATCTTTTTTATACTTGACATTAATTTCAAGTGGAGTATCTACTGGAGTTGAGTGCTCAAGTCCAACCAAAGCAATAAGATCTTTGGCATATTTGTGCAGATTAATAAAAATTCCATTACCTGACTGATACACTTCAAGGCCTAGGAAATATGTGAGGTTTCCAAGATCCTTCATGTGGAAAGAAGAGTGTAAAGAAGCATGTAGTTGTTGAATGCCTACTGTATCTGTACCAATGATGACGATGCCATCCACATATACAAGGAGAATGGTGATACCAATTTCACGACGACCAAGAAACATAGAAGGATCATTGGTACTCTGATTAAAGCCAAGTTGACGAAGAGTGTTACCAAACTTTTCAAACCAGGCTCGTGGTGCCGAGCATTGTAGATGACACACATCTGATGCGGAATTGCTTGTGACACCAGGTGGAAGTCTCATATAGACTTCTTTCAGATCACCATGTGGCGTTTTTTACAACCATTTGAAAAAAGAGGCCAAGATTGAGAAGCTGCAATAGCAAGCACTGTACGAACAGTTGTCATTTTTGCCACAGGAGCAAAAGTCTCTTCCTAATTAATCCCATACTCTTGCCAATTCCCGAGAGCGACCAAACAAGCTTTATATCGATCTAAGGAACCATCAAATCTAAGTTTAACAGAGTAAAACCCATTTGCAACCAATTAGTTTGTGACTAAGAGGACAAGGAACAGTATCCCCTGTATGATTCCTCTCTAAAGCTTCCAATTCTTCCTTCATAGCTTGTTTCCAACATGAATGTTGTATGGCCTGTGAATATGAGTTGGGAATAGATTTTGATGACAGAGTGGTCATAAGAATCAGGCGACCAGGAGGTTTGGTTTGCAGAGTGGATCTTCAAAGAGGAGGCGGTTGTGGACTGGGATCAGGAGATGGAGAGGAGTCACTGTTAGGACCTTCTTCTGCACCAATTATAGTTTTACCTTGTCGCTTAAAACCAACCCATGTTTAAACCTTGTGAAAACAGAAGGATTACTACTAAAGTCATGAAGATGAGAAAAGGAGGACGGAGGAGATGGGACATGAGTATTTTGAAAGAAATATTGTTTTTCAACAAAGACAACATTACGAAGGAAAGAAATAGCAGAATGTTCGAAGGGAAGGAGTTGTCTACGGCGACGCTGAAACTTTTTATTATTTGTTCTCTCTTCAATTATGTGAAGAGGAGTTCTTGTTTTTCTTCTTAAGATTAATTTCTTTCTTGGATTCGTTGGGGCCTTAACCCGGTTCCACTATTGTCTATGGGATGCGTTCCTGTAATGTTTGTGATTTTTATATATTTATATATATGTGTGTGGTAGTAAATTTTAAAAAGAAAAGAAAAGCCAAAGGAAAAAGGTTTTTGGTGGTGGGACCCACCACTAATTTTTTTTATGTGGCCAAGAGGCCATGTTTTTGGCCTCACTTCTTCTTTTTCTCTCCCTCTCCCTTAAGCCTCCTCCTTTTCTTCTCTTTTTCTTTTTTCTTCCTTCTCAAATTTCAAGTTTTGATTAATCCCCAACCGTTAGGAGATTTTTGGTGCCATTTGCAGCAAAACGGAGAGCTCGACGAGATCTACGCATGGGTGTAAGCAATTTATCATTTGGTGCACCCTAGGAAATTCGAAATCTAGGGTTCAAATTGGGGGTTTTCATCATTTTGAGGTAGGGGTGCTCTAATATACAATTTCTTGGATTTCTTGTGAAATTTTCTTTTAATTAGACTTTAAGCATGCTTAAATTTAATTTTGTTGTAGTTGTTATTTAAGTAATAAAGGCATGCTAGGTGTTAAGTGAGCTTAGAAATATGATTAAACTTTTTTGTGGTGAATAAGCATGCTTAGTGTTGATGTATTATATGCCTATGTTTTCAAATTGTTATGAAAAGTGATGTTGTAATTATGAAAATGAATGATTATATATATATATATATATATTTTTATAAGTAAAAATGAATGATTATATTTTATACTTTATCTATTTAAGTTGTTGGATTTGCCAATTGAAAGTATGTAAAATGCCATGATTTAGAAAGTATGAGAATGTGATATTGTGTGGGAATTCATATTTTAAACATGCTTGAATGATGTGGATGAAATGTAAGAAATATCTATATTGTCATGGCATTGAAGGATTTGCATAGTTCATGCTTTATCATTGGGAAAGTAAAAAAGGGAAAAGTTTGTTTTAAAAACAAATGAAATTGTTTCTGGGAAAAGTTTTTGAAAAGTGTTGTGAAAACCCAGACGCCTAGGAGGCGCCTAGTGGTCCGTGGTGTTAGTGTGATCTAGAGGGGGGCTAGAGAGAGACTCTAATGTGGTTGAGCTACCTAGGCCCAGACGACGCCATGGAAGTGCCATGTGGTCGGGGAAAGCTAGCCAACCCCTCCCTCGTGACGCTTTGGAGGTGCCTTAGGTCGGATTGCACTAACGGTTTGGAGGATTGCAACGGTATTGTTTCGGAAATGGGAAGCGACATTGCATGGCATGGCATTGCAGTGGCATACATTATACATTTGGTGGTTAGATGACTTGAGTATGCATTACTGGTATTATCGTTGTATTGCTTGTTTTCCCCGAGGCATGACCCCACTTACTTGTACTCTATTCCTTATGTGGATTCACGGGGTCATAAAAAGTGTGTCTTAGACACTTCCTACTGAGCTTATTGTCACGGGCTTAGAGTTTCAGCACCACTCTAGCTGCTCCCGTGCGGCACCAAGACGTTACTTTCACTCTCGCAAGTACTTGGTCAGCCTAACTCCCGTGCACACCTCAGCCAACACACTCCCCTCGTGCGCTTACTAGTGTTGTAGTTGCCCTCGCCCTCTCCTCACTTGGCTTGCACACTCACACACACTAAGGCACTTAAGTTGGCAAGGAAAGAACACTTCTATTACTTCAAAGAATGCTTTGTACAAGGCTAACACTCAAGCTCTCTACAAGGCTCTCAAGACTCACTCTAGGACTTGTTGTCTACAAAATGAAGTCCTACCTCTATTTATAGGCATCCCCATCCCCAATGGACGGCTAGGATGCATTTTAACCGATGGTGTAGATCGATTCTCTAGAATCTTCTCCCACCTTCTTCACACTTCCATACTTATCCATAAATATCTACAACATTCTAGAATTCTCCATACTACTCCACACAACTCTGGAGAACTCTAGAACCTTCCACACACTTCTACATATTTCTACACATATCTAGAATCTTCCACACAATTCTAGACTACTCCGGAAAACTCTAGAAACTCCACTTGCCATGCAGCGTCCTCCTCAGCGTCTGCGTGTCGCCTGCGTGGCACAACCTCCATAGGCGGGGCGTGACATTATACTCACCCCTTTTTTATTAACATTTTTCAGGATACGGAAGGGAAGTGGCGGACGACGCTCCTCCACAGGGTTCGATGGGTTAGTGGACTGTTTTGACATATTTTGTAACTATGATCTCTTTTTATTATTATTGCTATTACTATTTTTTTTTTTTAAAAAACAA